TGTTCAATCAATTCTATACTGTGTTTCTCAAAGTGTAAAACCATACATTTGGTTGGACCTTTCGTTTCAAACTTAGAAGAATTCTACCTTTTGCTTCGAGAGTTTCTTGCTTTTAGGTTTCTACTGTTGTTTAGTTTTAGCTTGTAATGGATTTAATGGATTTTTTAATGGATTTTTTTGGTTTAGTTTTAGCTTGTAATGACGATTAATGAAAAATTCTACCTTTTTTTTTTTTTTTTTTTTTTTTTCTGAGTGGATAATTGATCAATTGCTAATAGGTGCCTTGAGCTGGTATTGTTACTGAGTACTGACTATTCATGTATCACGTTCTTGTGTGATTGTGTACTTGCAACTAATTAGAATTAATTTGCATAACTTGTTGTTGTGATTAGGGGTGAGCAAAACCGAGCCGAAACCGAAAAACTGAACCGAACCGAGCGATTCGGTGCGGTTCGGTGCGATTTTGGACGAGCTCGGTTAACGGTGCGGTTTGGATTTTGGAAAACCGCATATGTTTCGGTGCGGTTCGGTTTCCCGTCCGAAAGGTGCGGTTTTAACCAAACCGCACCGCATATTAAAAAGGTGTCATTTTAGTTTCACTTTTACATATATTTTGTATACAAGTTGCATTTTAAAAACATAAAAAAAAAAAAAAAATTGAGTGTTTGACTTATTGTGGTTGTTTAATTTTCATTTTGTAATGGCATAATCATAATGAATGTTTGTATTTTTTTTCTTATTTATGGTAATTCATTTTTATTTGCGGTTAACCGAAAAACCACACCGCACCGAACCAAACATTTTTCGGTTCGGTTCGGTTCGGTTTTTTTTCCTCTTGCGGTGCGGTATGGTTAAGAAATTTCAGAAAATCGGTTTTCGGTTTTTCTGCGGTGCGGTTCGTTTTTTGACCGAACCGCACCATGCTCACCCCTAGTTTTGATGTGGGGAATGTTTATATTGAATGAGACATTGTTCTGCACATGAGTTTGTGAATTTGGATTTGGGTTCGAGTGGTTGCTTGAATAATGACATCATTTTTTTTTTTTGCAGGTTTGGAATTGTCACAAACTTCAACTGCTAAGAAATTTAGAGGATCATGACCAAGTAGATTGAAGTATGAAGATAGAACCTACGATCAATATGGAATCAAACTTGCAGTCAAGATTGTTGACCCCCCCGAAGTCCAAACTTTCATAAACTATATTACTATTGTGATAGAGATGGATTTATTGGTTGGACTAATTCAATAAATAAAGATAACCATGGTTTGGCAATAAATAAAAGAATAAAAAAAGCTTAAAATACATTCAACACAAAAAGGGTCCGAACCGAAAAAGGAAAAGCATAAAACTTCTTACCTCCACGTGGTTGTTTTCTATTGGTGAACAGTAAAAGCGGGCACAACTCGTAAGGGTAGCATCGAATAAACCATGGTTACCTAACGGTAGAATGACATTATTATGAAAGCATGATAAATAGTCCAAACTATATTTTAAAGGACATCGAATAAACCATGGTTACCTTGGGCTTTGCCTTGTCCATAGACACGTAAAACGTTATGGTCAATCAATTCTATACTGTTTCCCAAAGTGTAAAACCATACATTTGGTTGCACCTTCGTTTCAAACTTAGAATAACTTTCCTTGGCATGAGTGGATCAAAGTCACTTGATTTCTTACATCAGGGGACAAGGCCCCTCTGTTGTCTTGCTTGAGACAAATAAGACCAATGCCGGAATAAGTTTCGTCTATGCCGTATCTCTCTCTCTATATATTAATTCAAAACGTGTTGAACTTAAGTGGAAGATTCTCACGCTTCGGATGCTGACATGGTGAAAATATATGCTTCGTGATGTTGTTTTTATATTATTTTTGCTCTGCAGTTAGGTTTGGTATTAGACATAAATAACTTTACACATATATTCATTAACTCAACACCCATGTTGCACATGGGTATTACTTATTAGTACTTGTTTCATTTAATTAAATATAAATTTTTTTGTTTGGTGAATCAATATTTATCTAATTGAGATGTAAATAGAAACATTTTTTTTTTATCTCATTTTCACTTTACTAACACAATTAATAAACTAAAATAAACATTATTATATATTTTTCTAAGGGAAAAAACACTATCCACCCACTTATAAATTTCCAACTATTAGTCATTATTATGTTTTTTTTTTTTAATTTATACTATATAAGTTTTATTCAATATTAATTCACAATTTCCAACTTGTTTCACTTCTTCTAAGAACTTTTT